ACACAATGGCCAATGCAAGAAGTAGGAAGCTACCTAATTAGCAGCCATGCACGCCTTTGGTTTCACACTTTTACTGCTCACTGTGGACCAACCCTCTCCGTTTTTTACTCTTGCTTTTTTTCGTTTACTTACTCTCGTTTATTACTGTTTAATTGGTAAAAAAAATTTTAAAAAAAAACATGACAATAAAATTCTATAAAATATAAAAATAATAATTTAAGTTTTAAAATGGTTATATTTTCTTAATTTTTAAATACTTTTTTATTATTAATAAATTTATATAAATTATTAAATATTTTTATTGAAATAAATAATTTATAAGTTTATTTAAATATTCATAATTTTTTCTTCTTATATTAACAATAATACAATAGCAAATCATTTATTTTTAATAAGGATAATTTAATAATTTAAATAAATTTATTAATGACAGAAAAGTTCATAGAGGTTTCAAAGATATTATGACATTTTGGAGAGATTAAATTATTATTTATATATTTTAAAAGAATTTTATTGTCATTTTTTTATAAAAAACTCATTTTTAATAATTAGTTAATTATTTTTAAATTAATATTATCTTTGTTTCTAAATATACTTTATATATCTGTTATTATTTAATAAAATGTCTCATTTAAAATATAATAATTAATTGATTTATTTATTAGAAAATTTTAAGAAATTCATTAAATACACATTGAAAAACTATGTTTATGGGAGCAAATAAAAACGCAGCTTGTTTGTGAGCTTTTATATACTCCATTCATCCTACTTTTTTGTATTAATGGTTTTTAATATATTTTCTTGAATTGATAAAAAACTTTAAAAATTTTAACTTTATTTCATTTTAATCGTAAATAATTAATAAAAGGTAAAAACATCATAATAAAAAAATTAATGATAGTGTCTTTCTTCCTCCGTAAAAAATATAAAACATTTTTTGAGTAAGATATTTTGATCTTTCAAGGTACAATTAATGAATTTTTTACAAAAATACTTTTAATTAGGGTTGTAATTAATAAAATTTTATAATTGAGATGCCTTGTTAATAACAATAAATATAAAAAGAATATGTAATTTTAAAGTCAATAATTAATAATTTGAGATGTAATTTAGTTAAAAATAACTTATATATTAAACTAAAAGAATATAAATTTTATTTTTAAAATAGAAGGAATGAAATAGTGCTCCGCGCGTTTGTATGTGTAAGTATTGCTATAAATTTATTTCATCCTTTGAATATAAAAGATGTGATAATATTTTTTAAGTAATTAAATAATTTTATTATTGTCTTAAAAAGGAGAAAGATATTATTATGTAACTTACTTACTATCATCATAATATTAATATTAATTATGATATTATTAAGAACAATATAAAATAATTAATATGCCTTGATGTGATTTGAATTAAATAATAAACTTTTTATATAAAAATGATGGAGTGTGGTGGCAACAGCATTGAAAAAGGGTTGGACAGTTGGACTTGTCCATCATCGTCGTCGTCCTATCAAACCCCACTGCCCGCACGCTCTTGCTTTGTTAATTAACACCTCCAATTGCTCCTTCACTCGCGTTAGGCCAGTCATCACGTGTCCATCTCATCTATCTATTTCTCTCTATCAATGCACTTTGATTTCATCCCACTCAGGCACTCCCAAGGGCAGCAAAAAAGATTCACGGCACGTATTGTTCCATAAAACCCAAACTAGCTAGTTTCCAAGCTTGAAGCAATACCAATGGACTAATCATTTACATTTTGATACCACACTTCTCCATTGCTCATTAGTTACATTGCATGTGAGCCATCCCCAGGGTTAATAATCTATGGCATCTTTTTCATGCCCCCCTAATTCATCATCCATCCATCTGTCTCCCAGCAAGCACAGCTATTTTGGCCGATTGTCTATCATCATTAATTATTAATTATTAAATCCATCCATTAGCCTTTATAGGATATGATGGGAACATTAAGAGTGGAACGGTGTCAAATTGTAGCCTCTATCTATATAAATTTTCATTTCTCTTTGATCAAATCTTCATTTTTTATGGAGAGAATGACAAATAGATTTTAAAACGATCAATTAATTTAAGTTAAGTCTCAAGTGTTAAACTTAATAAATTTGTAACTCAATCTCTTAATTTTACAACTATGTTATAATAAATTTGTAACTTATTTTTTAAATTTTAATATGGTTGAAAAATAAAAAAATTATTTTTTTGTTAAAATTTAAAATATAAGTTATAAATTCATTACAACAAAATATTAAAATTAAGATATTAAGTTGTAAATTCTTAAAATTTAACACTTGAGATCTAATTTAAATTAATTAATTTTTTTAAAACCTCTCTATCGTTCTCCCTTTTTAATGTAAATCATGCATTTTTATCTCTATTTTATTGGAAAAAAAAATCAATTAGTTCTTATTTCCTATAAATTGTTTGTGTCTTAGTTTTAGTCTTCGTAATTTTATGTTGTTGTTTACATTCCTTTTAGTTTAATATATTTATAATGTTAGTCTTTATAATTTTAAAAATATGAGGGATCATGGGCTTTTTTACCAACATACTGCAAACAGTAAGAAAAATTATTGAAATGCTGCACTGTGAAAAATATTTACCCAAATATTGTGCTAAAAATCATTCATATCAAAAATGAGTGTGTTGTTATGAAGAAATCGTTTAGACTAAGAATGATTTTATAATAAAAAATTATTTTTTTATTCAATAAATGTGAAATCAGTCACTCAACTTTTTTAATGATGTTAATTTTATTCACCATAGACTGTAAGAATCTTTGCCTTCCCTTTTTACTTTACTTTTCCTGCGTGATTCATTTAAGCATGAGATAGATGATCACTTATTATTGTTAATACTCCTCCGGCCTTTGAGTTTGATAGAATATCTAAGTACATGCAATGGTATTAAATATAGAGAGAATTATATTGAAGTTCTACGCAAGAAAATTAATTACTGTAGAATCCATTGACAACTGAACTAAACTACATTGACAATTGTCAATGGACCTTACAGTAATTAATTTTCTTGTGTGGAACTTATTTGTAATTCTCCCTTAAATATATACCCAATAATGAATCTAATGTATTAATAGTAATAGTAGGTATGTCGTAAGTTTTTTTACTTTCTTCCACTAGTGCCATCTTTTTTCTTTATAAAAAATTTGTTATAATGTAGTAATATCTTATTGTTTATTTTAGGCTGACATAATAGAGAATTTGTACTAGCTAATGATTAATTCTCATTCAAAATGCTCTCATCACATTCATTATTGAGATAGGGTTGCTCACGACCAATGCAACATTTTACTTGTAATGAGAGAACAACAATTTAATAGAAACCCTTACTATGCTTTGCTAAGAGTTGAGTTGTCTCATCTACAAATTCCTCGAGATAGACTGAGCAAATAATGTGGTAGTTATTTATCTGCCCAACCACCAATCGAAAATAAAAATGTAAGAAAATAAGAGCCTTAAAATTTTAATTAATCTCATTACATGCTAACCTATTATTATCATCACCCCTTTCACCTATTCTAATCTTATTCAATTTGAGCCTTATTACGTATCACCCTTATTATCATCACTTTTCAACTCACCCACTCCTATTCAATGGCACTAGTGGGAGAAGGTAAAAAACTCATCACATGCGTAGTATTACTACTAATATGTTGGATCCATTGTTAGATATATTTTCAATATCATTACAGGTACTCAAATGTTCTAGCAAACTCTTCGAGTGATGAAGGAGCATTAATAATAATAAGTAATCATCTATCTCATGTTTAAATGAATCAAAAAAGCAAAGCAAAAAAGAAAAAGAGATATTCTTACAATGAATAAAATGTCATGTCAATAAAAAAGGTATTACTTTTCATTTATTAAAAAAATTCATTATGAAATCGTTCTTGGTTTGAATAATTTTTTCATGCCTACAAACTTATTTTGGGTATAAATAATTTTTGATGTAATATTTGAGTAAATATTTTTTACGGTGCAGCATTTTAATAATTTTTTTTATTGTTTGGAGTATATTGATAAAAAATCAGGATTATATTAATTTTATTGACCTATACTTATTTTGACTCATGGAAATGATTTGATCATGTCTAATTAAAAAATAAAGGGGATTTTTTTTAATATCAGGCTTAAACAAAAAGTAGGAAATGAATGTAAATGCGAGAAACATGCTTATTCATAAATCTCAAATACCAAAAGAGACAAATATAAGGACTGATGTCAGAGACATACTTCTTTCATTTAAAAATATAAAATATTTTAATTAAATCTTACTTTTTAATAAATAATTATTTATTTTTAAATTAATCCTATTTTTTTATTATTATCTCTATCTAATAAGGTATTTAATCTTAAAATAAATATAAAGTGATTTATTTAACAAGAGTATCTTTTAAAAAAAGTAATGATTACACTTTAAAAAATTAAAAATATCTTACATTTTTTAATATCAAACTCTTTAAAAAATGTCATATATTTTTAAATGGAAGGAGTATAAACTAAATGGATTAAAAATAATAAAAAAAGATTATAAATATTAAAACAAACAAAATCAAAATATAGCAAACTAGTTGTATTTTCCTCTAAGTTTTATTATGTCATTTCTAACCAATATTATGTTATTAATTTAATTTTTTAATTGCTAAATCATATCATATTCTCATTGTCGATGATGAAAAAAATGATTAATTTTTCTTGGTGGAAAGCAATGCTGCCGACATTGATGAAATATATAATCTGGAGAGAAGGAGCTACAAAGGAAATGGGCTGCTGTATCACAAAAATGCTGACGGCAGTCAGCAGATCACAGACACCAGGCAGTAATATAAAAGCGGGTGAGGATACAAATGGTAATTCTCGGTTCATTTTTTACTTTTTGAGAAAACACATTAGATTTGATGATCAAGATATACTGTTGGATGCCAATTTTAAAATATAGGAAAGTGACCTGAAAATATTCAAAATCACGACCGCTTCCCAACATAATTCCCCATCATCTTCCTCTCACTACTCTGCTACTACCTCCGCCTCTCTGCTCTCTGTCTCTCTCTCTCCCTCCCTCCTGCATTCACAGCACAGGACCTCCATTATCTACCTCTTCCTGTCACCACACACACTCACCCACATCCTTCTCCCTGCCCCTCTCCTTCCTTTAAATCTTGTCCTCGCACACCCCAACACACCAAACGTCCCTCTCTTTATCTTCTTCTTCAATGGCGCCATCCTTCTCCTTCTTTCTCCCATTTTTCTTAGCCTTAGTATCCCTACTACTAGTATTTGCTTCTGCTTCTTCCGATTCTGAAACGAAAACCTTCATTGTTCAGGTCCTGCATGATGCTAAGCCTTCCATTTTCCCTACTCACAGACACTGGTACGAGTCCTCCCTCGCTTCCATCTCTGCCCACAGTTCGTCTTCTGATCAGACGAGTGGCATTCTCCACACTTACGAAACGGTGTTTCACGGTTTCTCTGCAAAGCTTTCACCTTTAGAGGTTCAGAAGCTTCAATCCCTCTCCCACATAGTCGCCGTCATACCCGAGCAGGTTCGCCATGTGCAGACCACGCGTTCCCCTCAGTTCTTGGGGCTCAAGACGCCCGACAATGCTGGTTTGCTCAAGGAGACCGATTCTGGGTCGGATCTTGTAATCGGTGTCATCGACACTGGTATTTGGCCCGAGAGGCAGAGCTTCAATGATCGCGACCTGGGCCCTGTTCCCCCAAAGTGGAAGGGGCAGTGCGTCGCCGGGAAAGACTTTCCTGCGAGCTCTTGTAATCGGAAGCTGATCGGAGCTCGGTACTTCAGTAACGGGTATGAAGCTACCAACGGGAAGATGAACGAGTCGTCGGAGTATCGTTCGCCGAGAGACTCTGATGGTCACGGGACTCACACAGCTTCGATTGCCGCCGGGAGGTACGTTTTCCCAGCGTCGACACTCGGCTATGCTAAGGGAATGGCGGCCGGAATGGCTCCGAAGGCTCGACTTGCCATCTACAAAGTCTGCTGGGCAGGTGGTTGTTATGATTCCGACATCCTCGCCGCATTTGACGCCGCCGTTGCCGATGGTGTCGACGTGGCCTCCCTCAGCGTCGGAGGCGTAGTTGTACCATACTTCCTTGACGTCATTGCCATTGGCGCATTCGGAGCCTCCAGCGCTGGTGTTTTCGTCTCTGCCTCAGCCGGCAACGGTGGCCCGGGCGGCCTCACCGTCACCAATGTCGCCCCATGGGTCACGACAGTCGGCGCCGGAACCATAGACAGAAGCTTCCCTGCCGACGTTAAGCTCGGAAACGGGAAAATCATCCCCGGGGCCAGCATATATGGAGGACCGGGTCTAACTCCCGGTCGGATGTACCCTATTGTGTATGCCGGTTCAGAAGGAGGCAGCGATGGTTATTCCTCTTCACTCTGCTTGGAAGGCTCATTGGATCCGAACTTTGTAAAGAACAAAATCGTTGTATGTGACAGAGGCATCAATTCGAGAGCTGCAAAAGGAGAAGTAGTGAAAAAGGCTGGAGGAATTGGGATGATCTTAGCCAACGGGGTGTTCGACGGCGAAGGACTAGTCGCCGACTGCCATGTGCTGCCCGCCACCGCCGTTGGTGCCACCGGAGGTGACGAGATACGAAAATACATCTCAGAATCGTCAAAATCCCATTCACTTCCCACAGCAACAATCGAATTCAAGGAACAAAACTGGGAATCAGAGCACCTGTGGTGGCATCATTTTCAGCTAGAGGACCTAATCCAGAATCTCCTGAGATTCTAAAGCCAGACGTTATAGCTCCAGGGTTGAACATACTTGCAGCTTGGCCTGATAAAGTAGGACCTTCTGGGGTTCCTTCAGATACTCGCAGGACTGAATTCAACATTCTTTCAGGTACATCAATGGCTTGCCCACATGTTTCTGGTTTAGCTGCTTTGTTAAAAGCGGCGCACTCAGATTGGAGTCCTGCTGCTATAAGATCAGCCCTTATGACCACTGCTTATACAGTTGACAACAGAGGAAACACAATGCTTGACGAATCTACTGGTAATGTTTCCTCAGTATTTGATTATGGGTCTGGCCATATCCATCCAGAGAAAGCCATGAACCCTGGTTTGATCTATGACATCAACACATATGACTATGTGGATTTCTTGTGCAACTCGAATTACACCACACAAAATATTCGAGTGATTACCAGAAAAGGAGCAGACTGTGGCGGGGCTAAAAGAGCAGGACATGCTGGGAATCTGAATTACCCTTCATTTTCTGCAGTGTTTCAGCAATATGGGAAGCATAAGATGTCGACACACTTTATCAGAACTGTGACCAATGTTGGGGATGCAAATTCTGTGTATAAAGCCACTGTGAGACCTCCCAGAGGGATGGTGGTCTCAGTGGAGCCTGACACTCTCTCTTTCAGGAGGGCAGGTCAGAAATTGAATTTCCTTCTTAGGGTTCAAGCGAGGGCTGTGAAGCTTTCCCCTGGAAGTTCATCTGTGAAGAGTGGGCATCTGGTTTGGTCTGATGGGAAGCACACTGTCACAAGTCCTCTGGTTGTGACAATGCAACAGCCTCTGTGAAGTATTATTCCACCGTACTTCAAAAGACAGAGTGGTGTCCTGTTTTATGTCTTCATAATCATAATCCCTGAGGTTTTGTTTTGCATGTAGAAATTTTTGGGATCCTTTTTTCTGGTTAATAATTTCTATCTTAGAAATGTTATAACTAGCCATGTATAATAGAGAGTGTGTTTGTCAAGGTTTTCCATTGTGAGAGGCGTCATGATGTAATAGTATTATCCTTCTTTGTAACATTAAGAATCAAGTATCGTGGGAATCACACTGGCACTTAACCTTGGTTGTGAAGAACTGGTATTTCAGTTTTTTCCTGGTTGAAGCAAAATCTAAAGATTGAGAAATTTTGACATTTTTGGCGTTCATAGTTGAAGTGATATGTGGAAGAGAACATTATGGTTATGATTTTCAAGGTTTTGCAGAATTAAGAATTTAAGAATGGCGTGTGAAATAGAAGCAGTGTTGAGAAATGAGAAGAAGACAAGGATGGTGATGGAAAGATGATGTTATCTGTGGTGCATGAGAATTTCTGTTGGATTTTGAGACTTTTATTTATTATTTAGTCAAAGATTTGGTAAGCGCATGTGCCTAGAGATGATGATGTTTCTTGCCATTCTTCGATTTTTTTTCCAAGTGAACTTGAATTTTATATTTATACAATTAACAAATATTGCATCAGGGAGGAGACACCATGATAATGACAAACAGGACGACGAAAATTACTTACACGAGAGACCAGACCCGTTAGTTTTTTGGAAAAGAAATCTAGTAATTTTTTTTGAATCATATAATCTCAACAGTTAAGGCTGTTGATAGAGTATGTGGGATTTATTATTAGATTATACTATATACAAAAAGTCAAAAACTACATGCTTTGCCATTGTTGAGTTCAAAGTAAAATTGAGAGGTTCAGGTCAACTTCTAGTAAAGTGGTGCAGCTGCCCTGCATCAAATAAATTGGGTTCATAAAGACATGAACTATCAATAATTTACTTTTGTAAGCATTTCAAGCGTTTTTGACTTTTTTGTGAAATGCATTAATTATAGCTTTAGCTACGAACTTACGACAATCATAACTTCTAGGATCTATTATTTGATTCTTTTTTCCAAAAATTAAACGGGCCATATGCTGTATGGAATATTACTATATGAGTGATAATAAAAATTAAATTAAAGTATACATTTTTATTCTTTAACTTTATATGTCTTATTTTAATCCCTTAATATTATAAAATTTGTTTAGTTATTTAATTCTAACATTGTTAATTTTATCTCAATAAATATTTATATTAAATTTATATATATTAATAAAATATTTTTTAAATATTTAAATATTAAGTTTAATTTTTTTAAAATGACAATGATTGATACAAAAATAAATCATTTAAAACTAATAATATTAGTGTTAAAGGATTAAAAAATAATTTATAAAATTAAAAAATTAAATTAAAATTTTGTATAAAGCTATAGGATTAAAAGTATACTTATTAAAGATTTTAAAGATTTAAGATTTAAGAATGGTACAATTTTAAGTAATCTCTTTAATTTTAGTCAAAATCTCCTGAAAAGCTCTTATAAAATTTGGTAGTAATTTTAGGCTTGAAGAATATTCGTGATATTAAAGATTCATGGACTTAAATGATATTTTTATGACCTGGGACCTTAGATTCAATCCTTACCAGTGGAGAATCTCCATGAATTTTGTAGCGTTCGTTTTTAGCATGCCCCTGATTTCTTTTTTTTAATTGGTGAAACTCGGAGGGTTAAGTTGCAGCATCACCTGGGCACTGATTGTTATTGACTCCACGTGCTTCCACAACAGTGACAGTATACTATTGAGGATGAATCATCAAGAGATTCTGCAAATTTTAAATTATTATATTTTCTCAATGTTAAAAAAATGACATTTTTAAAGAAGAAATTAATGATAGTTAAATTTTTAATAATTTTTTAAAAAATTAATAATAAATATTGATTTAAATAATTATAAATTTAAAAATTTTAATTATAAATATGTTATTTAACTTATAAATATAAGAATTAGTTCATAATTTGAATTGATATTTATAACTATTTAAATTGATATTTATAATTTATTTTACATAAAATTTTATTAAAAATTTAATTGTCATTAATTTATCATTTTAAAATTGTATTGTTATTCTTCCAAATGTAAAACTGAATTATTACGTCTTTACAAGCATATCGGCTGGTGACATTGAGAATGCAAATAATTGATCAATATATGATAAAAAAATTAAAATTATTTATTATTCATTTACCGTTCACTATATACTATTAATTTGGCATTAGTGTAAAATTTAATGAACTCCCAACATTTACTGTATATTAAAATAATTTTTAAGGGTCCAAATATTATATATTTTAAAAATTAAATATATTCATATATATTAAAATTAAAAAATACAGTATATTTAAATAATGAATACTGTAAATTTTGTGTAAATTCTCAAATCACGTGGACTAGGGGGAGAAGTGAGAAGTTAAATTTATTTTACAACTTTAATTTTTTCAAAAATGATAATTCCTTTTCAAAACCACCCTTCTTAAATTTTATTGGAAAAAGTTAATTACCATTTCATTGAATGCTCAGGTCACCAGGATGGAATTAGATTTACCATGATATTAATAGAGTGAGTTATTTTTTGAAGTCCTTTGAGATGAAATAAATGGTGTATCTTTAATAATATATGACGATGTAAATTCGTCCTATCAACCTATATTATATATTTATATATTTACAGGTTAGAAGCTATGGCTATCTAAGTATCTGATTTCGAGTTTGAAACCATGTAAATGTTTGGGGGAAAAAAAAATTGAGAGAACTATTTTCAATTTATCTTGATAATGTTTCAATATAACCAGTTTGATAGCTATATAACTTATAAAGAAAGTTATAAGGAAAATCACTATTGAATCTCCCATAAAAACTGTAATTACTAAAAATTCTCATAAAATGGAAAAATCAATTTGAAATCCCGAGCGATTTTAGTGTACATAATTTTGAAAAAAATCATTCTAAGATTTTTTATAAAATTTTAATTATTAAGAGGTTTCATGGAATACGCAAACTATTCTTAAGTCCAAAACCTATTATTGTAAATGTATTTCATATTAAATTATTAAAATACTCTTGTTTTACTTTTTTTTTTTTAAGAAAAAAGCTCAGCCCCCATCACCGGTGGGCCAACCCTGAAAGCCCCAGCATTGGCAAAGAAATAGTTTTGGGAAGGGTGGCCTTGAGAAATTAGAACCTAAGATCACATGGTTAAAAAAAAAAAAATCACTAAACTATTGAAATCTTTAGTTATGTATGTATGTATGTATAAAATTGCACACATCTATATTAAACTTGGGAAAACAAGGTTAATTAAATAGAACTAATGATGTGATGTTTAAAGTAATTGTGATTTATAGTGAGCGACTTACTAATGAAAAATATGTCTATTTAGTAGTCATGTGATAGTTGTTATCCACACAGAGAATTGTGAATGAAAATATACATAATTAATAATAAATTGCGCGCATATTCTCACTGCTGGTGACGTCTGCTTGTTTTTCACCGTCATGGACTTGTGGTGGCTGCTCTCTTGCTCTTTCTTTTATCTCTGCTGATTCTTTCTCTGCGTCTCTCTCACCCTCCTCCTCTCATATCCACCATGCCATCCCTTCCCTTCCCTCCCATTTACCCTTTTTTCGTCGGTCACAATGTTCAAGAGGGGCTGGCTTGGTGCTATTTTCTCTGTACAGAATCACACTGAACTTTTTGTCCCCCCCCCCCCTCTCTAGAAGAAAATTAAAGAGACGCGAGTAAAGGAAGAGAGAAAGGGAAAGTTAAAAGGAAACAAAGCGAATCGATTTTCACTGTTATTCCTCTGGGGATTTCTCCAAGCAGGGGTCCCAAAAAAGAAGATGCGAGGGCCAATCTAGCAGTTAGGCAAGTAAAATTATTTACACTAAAGTCCCTCCACAGTCCAGAGTCCAGACTTCAGATTGATTTCTTTATTTCATGCAATTGTTGAGTAATTAGAGCTTTTCTGTGGCACTCAGTAGCGATTTTCCCAAATACTTGCCGACAAGCCTATATTAGGCCTGAGGCCGACAGTCTCACTGTGTTCACAAAATCAAAATGGAGCGTGAAGGTTGACTTAGCGAGCACGCCAAAACTTTCAACAAAAACATACTTGTGGGAAAGCGCATTCCCATAATTTTACTTGAGAAATTTTGAAGTTTTGTCAACGTCACTTTTGTCATAGGCGTTGTTGACTGCTAATTATAGCGTCTTGTAATGCAAAATATCAAAAGAAAGTAGTTTTTTTTTTTGGGTAGAAAAAAGAAAGTAGTCCTGTTGGGATGCTGCGAAGTTAACTCAGAGGCTCAGAAAACAAAAACCAAAAAGGGAAATTTAAAAGCCCAATGGGCTCGGCCCAGATATTACCTGGCCTCTCTGAGAACTTTTTCTGTTTTTAAATCAAGATGGGGAGAGAACACAAATACAAACAAGAATTAAGCAAAGTCAGGGGATTTAAATCCCATACAATCCTTCAGCACTAAGTCCCTCATAAAAGGGGGAGCCAAATCAAAAAGAGAGGAGTTTGAGATTTCAGCTTTCGCCAAAGAGTCTGCCACCATATTTTGTTAGCGTGGAACAAAATTAACAATTCCACTGCGGCTATATTTGAGAAGATTCTCAATCTCCAAGAAGACTAAGCCTCTCTCAGAACTTAATTTCATATTCCTTACCCTAAAGAGCAAGAAGAAGAAGAAGACGATCTCATGAGTGTTGCCCGTAGTTAGTTAAAAAAAAAAAAAAAAAAACCCAAGTATCCACCAAGTTAGTGTTGATTTTCAATAGCAAACCAAGCTTATGGGGTGGGATGGGTTGGGTTCACAAGCCCAACGAAACCAAACACAATCCAATTAAGAATCTATATTCATTTAAATACAAAATCTTGAGTATAAACCTGCGTAAATGTTAACCCAAAAACAAAAAAAAAGTTTTGAGGCAACTACTTTTAATTGAGCCCAACAACATTCAAATCTGACTTGGGTAAATAGCCATATAAAAAATTAAATGTCCTCATTAGTTTTCAAAATAATTAAATTTCGTGAATGTAAATTGGGTAAAAATTAATTAGCGACCATTTAATCTTGTTTTCATAATGCAACAATTCCGTGATTGTATAGGATGGTTCACAAGAAGCGTATTTTATTAAATAAAGACAATGAAAGCGTAACATGCAAATACAGTGATATGGGACTTTCAGCAAAGTTTGTGTCAATTTCTCATCTAACTTATATTGACTTTAATGTCAAAGCCATCGTTCTATAAATACTTATTGGTCATTAATAACTTGGCAACTCTCCAATTTGATTACCTTTTGATATCTTTTAGCATAGATTTATATTTGATTCAAAGATATTAATTTTCACGAGTTTTATGATAATTGCACAAATATAAGATTGCTGATCAAACAGCAATGAGCTTGAGCTTTAGGAAAATGATAATTACTTAATTCGTGAGAATAACACAGGAGTAACAAATATGAACAAAATT